CTCGACGTTCTTCTGCAAAACACCGGCCACGGAACGAGCGCGGAACGCGCGCGAAACCGCGAGCGAGCCGCAAATCGAGGGTGTCCCAGGACTCCTGGCGAGTTCACGTCGAGGCTCCCGCTCTTCTTCGTCCCGCGCTTCGCGACGTCGACGACGTCCGACCGCGCGCAGTAGCCCTGGACGGCGCTGTAGCTCAAGGGCGCGCGCTCCGGCACGGCCTTGCCCCGGGCGACGTTCACGAGCACCGTCGCCTGGCCCAGGCTCACGCCCTGCTGCACCGCGTTGCAGACGATGGTCGCCTCCATGGAGTCCTCGACGATGAGGGGCGCCGCGCCCGCGAGCAGGTCGCAGGCGCGCGGGTCGTAGAGGACGCCCTGCGAGTCGGCGTCGCGCAGCTGCCGGAACACCTCCTTCACGCAGCGCGTCGACTCGGGCGACATGTTCATCTGCTTCCTGACCCACACCGCCCAGCCGCGGGGGCCGTCCCAGGTCTCCTCGTCCGGCGCGCCGATCATGCGGTAGAAGTACGCGATCGCCTCGCGGCGGCGCGCGGCCTCCCCGTCGCCCAGCTCGTTAAAGTTCGGCCGCGGCGGCAGCTCCAGGCTGACGCGGGGCGCCGAGGCGGGGTGCGACGCCGCGGAGGCCTTCGCCGCGCGCTTTGAGCGGTTCAAAGCGTCGCGGACGTCGCCCTCGTCGCGCGCGAGAGAACCGTCCAAATAGCAGCCGTCGCCGTTCAGCGTCGGTTCCGCGTAGCGCAATTCGTGTGCCGATGGACCCAGGTCGCCTCGGGAGCGTCGCTTCCGCTGTGTGACGACGGGCGCGCTCATCGCAAGCTTACAAGAGGCGACGGCACCACCGGTCTTTTTTGTAATCAATCCGGGCATGTCAACACACGTGTTGATGAGGTAAAATCCACCCTGTATGCAGTGTTAAACGCCGCTTCAATTTGGGCTTCAACCTCAAACCTTGCACTTCAACAGGGACCTCAACACAGCCGCTTGCCCTTCAAAGCAACACCGCTGCTCACGCCTCGCGGGGGACTCCAGAACCCTTCCGCGCAATCTTTATTCGCTAAGGACGCGTTAGTCTATCGTCTAGGGCGGCTTAGACGATGGTGGGCGTTTAGCGTGGAATCGCTGCCCGAGGACCTCCGGTGGGCTTCGTGACCCACCCGCTGTGCTAGCTCGGCCCGCCCGGGGCGTTCG